CCCCGCCCGCACTCGGCGCCCGCGCCCCCGCGCGCCCCCGCGCGCCCCCGCCCGCGTCCCCGCCCCGCACCCCCGCGCCCCCGCCCGCGCGGCCGGGACGAGCGCCGCCGAGCGCATGCTGATCCCTGTCCTCCTCCTCCTCCTCAGGCGGCGCTGGCGGCGGCCCCGGGACCCGCGGAAGCCGGCATGCTGGAGAAATTCGAGTTGGAAGAAGAAGGTGAGTGCCCCCCGCCGGAACGCGCTCCGTGTCGTCGCCGAGGGGCCGGGGCGCGGGGACCGCGGGGCGCACGCCCCGGAGGCCGTGCGGCCCCGGGCTGCCTGCGGAGCGCGGCCGGGGATGCAGACGCCGAGCCGGCCCGGGGGACGTCCGCAGTGGCCCGCGGGCGCCGGTCCGGCTGGAACCCTCGCCGGGCTCGGGAGGCAGCGGCGCCGGCGGACCCTCGGCACCGAGGGGCGGCCCTTTTGTCCTTACCGGCCCAACTCGAAGGAGAGCGAGGTGTCACGCCGCGAAATTGTTTGTATGCCACCGTGCGCGTAGAGGCGGCCCCCCAACCCTGTGCACGGCCCCTACCTTTAAATAACACCCTCCGGTTCCCTTATCTGTGTTTCCGAAAATACCACCAGCAGGGTGTGTCTGCTGGTTAATAGGGAAAGTTAAATAGCAGCACCAGCGGCGGCTTAGTGCATTGGTCTGGAGTTCAGGTGACCCTGTCACTCCCATCATTTCTGCCGCCTCTCCTGTCGCTCGGCTTCTCTTTTCGCCGCCCTGGTCTCCTCTTACTCCCGTGGATCTCGTCGCGAAGCTGTTAAAATGTGAAGGGGGCGAGTTTGTTTTCGGGCCAAATTAGCATCTTAAAAGCGAATACCATGAGCCTTCACCTGGATCTTATTTTGAAACTGTTAAAATTGGAAGGGGATAAGCTGGTCTTTGGGCAAAATTCGGATTTGAAATGGGATAGGATGGACTCAAAGTCCAGAAAGAACTTCGCACAAGATGCTTGACAATTTGAGGCATTTATTTTAAAAGAACTCCACACTGCCTAGCGTACTTGTGTTATTCACTTGGTGACTTCTCTTTTTGCCCCAAGTATGGATAGAATAAAGCTCCTGGAACAAAGAATGTGCCATGTGGGTGCTGTCCCCTGTGCCAGCCTTACTCTAATACTTGTGTCATTTAGTCAGGCGATCACTTAAATAAGCATACACAGCCAAGACGACAGCGTTAACCAGACACTGTTAGGCCAGTACCTACACGTATTTTATGTTTTACATTTCCTGCAGCATTTCACAAACATGTCAGCTGGAAGCTAGTGCATGCGTAGCAATCGTCGTTAAAAGTCTGCATCCGTATTTATTATTAACCAGCAGTTACACGATACATTTCAGAATCTTACTGGGACTTAATTTGCATTTTATCCTACTGAAAAATAACCCAGTATCTTAAATCGAATCCACCCCATTACTCATCAGTTCCGTGTCCAATTTTGACCACTGTCCACAGAGCGGTATGGTGTGCCTCCCTGTCCACTGAGACTTTGTCTAAATCATGGGGGTTTTCTTTGTCCCCGAGACCAGTAACGATGAAGAGCCTACTACATTTAAACTTTCTGCAGACTCACGTGGGGGCAAGAGCAGAGAGGAGAGCAGATGCCTTAGCGAGGCGCCCACAGTTGTGGTTGAGAACGCCGTCCCAGCTTCACAGCTTAGCTCCATTATCCCGCTCTGGGACTCTGGAGAAGTTACTGAACTACTCCGAGCCTTACTTTCCCTGTTTATGAGATGGAGCTGATACCGGGTGTGTCGAGGATTAACTGAGATCATCTGCAGAGTGGTAGTACAGTGTAAGTGCTCTGGAAATGTTAGTCACTATTATTTTTAAAGTCCCATTAACCACTTTACCGAATTCGTGGACTTTTTAAGGCTTTTATTAATGAATCTTAACATAGAGATTGTTCTCAATGTGGAGTCGATGGGGTTTTTTTCTCACTTGAGATTTATTGATGGAATTATGTTGCATGTTCTCAAAGCTGATACACACAAGCCTTGTTTTCTTTTGCCTTGTTCCTGCCAACATTATTAAATGTCATTAACATATTAAACCTAAGCATCTGAGAAAGGAGATTTCCTGTTTTCTGCCATCTATTTTTATCTATATTGCTGTCATGACTTTAAAGCATGCTGAATCCCACAAATAACCCTGTCAAACTTTTCTAGGTTTTTAAGGAGGCAGAATGTTAAGCACTCGCTTGGAAGCCGTTAGCAGAGCTGGAAGAAGAAATAGTGTTGGCGTGGTTGTCTAAAATGCTGCTTTGCTTCTCATGAACTTTATGTTGCTTATTCATCCATGGTATGGAAAAGCTGCGTATCAGGCAGGATCTTACATTTATTTGGGGGTGTGCGGGGCGGGAGTCCTAACAGTTGGAGCCGTTACACCTTTAAATATCCTGTGAACCGTCGTGTTAGCAGGCTCTGTGGAAGATAGCTATTGAATAGGTCCTCATTAAATCTTTAAATTTCCTTCCCATCCAGTTCATGTCGTAACGCATGGCTTGCGCTCTGGACACACTACTTAGATGGAGAGACATTTGCTATGCACAGAAACACCCCACGACGAATATTTTTGTTATCGAGTATTTTTCTGTTTCCTAAGAAATTGTAACCCATCCTCTATCTGTGAGAAACAGTTTGGCGGCCCTGGTGAAGTCAGAGTCATCTCCTAAAACGTCCTTTGCTTCTGGGAAGGAGGAAGAAGCTGTACCACCGTCCACCGGGCCTGGTAGGGGTCATCTTTTGCCTGGGTTCTGACACCAGCAGCCTGCCCACTGTCGGCTGCCACCCCTTCCTCCCGTTACACTCTGACGGAGGGACCTCTCCTCTCCGGGAAAGTCTTTACCCCTGGCTCCAATCTATATATAGGATAAGTGCGTGCTTCTCTTCATGTGCAGTCTCACCGCCTCCTCCCAGCCCCACACGCCAGTGATCAGAAGGCGCTCTGTGCCAGAAATCACCAGACATCTTTTTAAGCAGCAGATACTAATTCTGCGGGTCTGGGGGGTTGGTGGGGGGCGCTGAGAGTCTGCATTTCTGCAACACTTCCTGGTGCTGCTGCTTCATAGACCCTTCTGTGAAGAACAAGGCCATAGAACAGGCCTCAGTCAACTTTTCCAAAAGGCCAGATGGTCTCTGCCTCTGTCACGACTACCCAGCTCGCCAGGCTGCAGTTAGCGAGAAAGCCGCAGAAGACCAAACTCAATCCAACACGCCACGCTCCAGTGAAACTTTACTTAAAAAGCAGGGCGGTGTGGTTCCTGGAGGGGAGCTCAGTTAGTCAAGCGCCTGCCTTCTGCTCAGGTCATGATCTCAGGGTCCTGGGATCAAGCCCCACTTCGGGCTCCTTGCTCAGTGGGGAGCCTGCTTCTCTCTCTCTGCCTGCCATTCCCTCTGCTTGTGTGTTCTCTTTCTCTGTCAAGTAAATAAATGAAATCTTTTAAATAAATAAAACAGAAAACAGGCTGGATTGGGCTCCCGGGTGTAGTTAGCCAGACCCCTGCTCTGTGTGCCTGTCGTGGTGTCTGCGCGTTAGGGTGTTCCATCAGACTGCGGGCAGGACTTCCTCTTCCTCTGTCTCCATCCTCCTCCCAGTCTTACTGATGCATCGTGGCTCTGCTCAGATCTCGCCCTCTTTTCGAGGCTGTCCCCCTAAATCCCTTCTGTGCCTCTCTCACAATTCATCTTGCTGTTCCCTGTGCCTGAGATGGCTGGGGGCACCGTAGGCGCTCGGCGGTGTTGGGATCCTAGCGAGGACGGCATCTCCGTAAATGTTACCTTATGGGAGCGTGGAGAGGCCTCTGATTCTGTGTGTGCAGAGCGATGAGAACAGTGCCTCACCCGCAACAGTGACCGTATGTGTTTGCTCTTCCAATTTCTGATTCATGTGTGAGTCATACTGATGTTTGTTTTGTCAGGATTCATTGTCTCAGACTTATTAATGGCAGGACCAAGCACAAGTACTTCATAGGGACCTAAACACAACCCAGGAATGCTTTCCAAAGTAGTTAAGTGCCAGCCATTCATTCGTGATTAGTAAATCTGTAATTCTGGCACCGCTTCAAGAATTTAACTGCCCCTCAGAGCTATCTCTCTTATCTCCTAGCTTCTCTCTTGTCCCTTCAGCTGTCACAGATTCTGCACTTATTTCAGGTTTTCAGTAACTTGCTGTGGGTGTCTCGTCCCACCTAACTGGCTCTCCGGCCGGCTTCTCCCCTCTTCCCTCACCGTCTGACTCCTCCCTGATCCCAGACCATCCTGGCTGTCCTGGCTGTCCTTCACCCTCACAGCATTTTCCAGAGCGTACTCTTTCCAGAACTCACCTGCAACTCATTTTTCTAGCAAGGCTGGTCAGCCAAGTCTACACCGATCAAAAGTATGCAAGAAACAGGGGCCACCTTTTTGGAAGGGAAGGCATCTTTCAGTGAAGGGTCTCGGAGTTTTGGGCCCAGTTTGGTAATGAATTAGCTGCGTCCACAGATAATCCAGAGCCCCTTGGGGCTTTGCTGGCTTGTTTTGTTGTTGGGGTCATTGTGAGTTTTCCATCTGAAACAAGGCCTGGCACTTGGTGAACTTGAACTTTTCCTTCTAATTCAAAAATACAGCCTCAAGCAACCAGCAGCCACCCTATAAACAGAACCAAGCTTTGGTGCCCACTCAAACTCATTCATTCCAAACTGGGGGAGCAGAGTGGGCAAAGATCGAGTCTTGTCAGGGGACCAAGGACCTGAGATGTTGCCGTGGTTCGTGGCTCTCCTAAGGGCCACAGGACGTAAACGGATGTACGGTGTATCTGCGGTATTAAAGTTTCTTGGGGGTGGGGCAGTTCAGAGGGAAAATGTATAAGAAGTTTCAGATGGGGATTGGATAGTGAAAAATGTTTGAGAAACACTGCTCTGACTTCAGGAAGAATTGTCTGTGTTCCCATGACCTGCCAGAGCACCCCCTTAACACCAGCGTTAGAGCCTCTGCTCAGTGAGGCTCAGCAGAGTCCACTAGGTCAGTCGCTGGCCCTCGTGTGAGGAGTGCTGACCTCTGGCGGCAGAGCTGCCCCAGCGACAGGCTCGTCCTCACCCCGTGGCCGCCCCTCCGTGATGATGATTATTATAGACTATTAGAAGGCTCTGATAATCTATCGTCCAGACTCTCCTTCCCTCCTGAGTTTACGTA